CTGTTGTGCGTGCACACCACGGAATATGAATCAACTGATATATATATGTATATATATATATATATATATAATTTTTTTTTCTTGCTTACTTTCCAGCTCTTGGACACCAAATTTTCTTCTACTTTCACTGAAGCAATGATTTGGCAATGCACAATTGTTGATTTATACTTATCATACAGATATTTGCCTGTAACATCTGATTTAAGTTAAGCACCAACAATAGTAACAACAACAACAACTGAAAAAAAAACTACATAAATAAATTGAATTGAAAGAGAGAAACTGATTCTATTCCAAAGAAAAAACAGGCTGCTTTCGATGTATACTGCACTTGTTTCGACTATTATTTTCTTCTTCTTTCGTTTTGTGTCACACGCTTACACCACCGAATAAGCACAAAACAATAAATTCTTTTTCTTCGTTCTTCTGCTCGTGTGTGCGTGTGTGTATGTGAGTTGTTTTACAAAATTCTGAATGGAATTGTTTCACACGATTTCCAGGAAATAGATTGCAATTTCCCTTGTATTTAATTCTTATTTTTAAATAGATATATTCCAATTTTTCGTCGTTATCTCTATCACTGTTGCCAATACGCTCACGACTGGATATACTTTGTTGTTCACTCTTGCCGTTTCAATCCGTGTGTGATTTGACTTTGCACGAGTGTTTTATTTTTTTTTTCTCTCTCTCTCTTTGCTTCTTCCTGCCTCTGCACTAAATTGGCAAATCGGATTCTTTTTTTCTTTACTTTTGCTTTTTGGATGCACGATATGTGTGTGTGTGTATGGAGTTGTTATTTTTTTTTTCTTTGCTTTTACAACTACTTTTCTTCTCTGTACCTTCTCCTGGTTGATTTTCGATGACAAATCACATAAATCACCACTAGAATGTGATTCAACAATGAATCGAAAACATACGAATTTTGAATTTTGGTGTTGGAATCGGTGCGCGTTTTCTGTTGCGAATGCCAATTGATTTCGTTTATCGTATTTGCATATATATACTTCGCGATGACTCGATGGCACACACGACGACAACAGCGAAAAAACTTTTTTATTTCGCTTTTAAAATCAATAGCCTCGGTACAGTACATATACCTTCTTCTTCTGCAGTACCATCGTACGCGCAGACGTCAAAGCCAGTATCGCATTTTTTTTTTACTACTAATAAAATTTGATGTTGTATATGTCGCCTCATTCGGATCGATAGTGATGCGTTCACACCCAAAATAACGCATTGTACCCATTCCGTTGAATGATATAGTGTAAACGCACACCGGACCACTCATTCAATGGCCACAAATTCGGCATTTTTGTCCGCTTTTTTCCCAACTAAATTCGTAAATGCAATCTTAATGATGTTTTTCAATTTTCGATGCATTTATTTGATGAACATAAAAAGTGTGTGGCATTTAAAAAATGAATTTTATGTTGGGCCTTGTACTTGTCAATGACAGTTTGAATAGCCGTCGTATAAACACGACCATTTTGCCAGAAGCTGTTTGACAGTTGCTCACAATGCTGCATGCCTATACATTCACACAGACACACGATGTGTATGCTGGTTTTATCCCCACCAAAAAACCATTTTACCGCCACACAACATCACAAACACACGAATACATGCATACACGCATACACATACATTCGCACACACGAACGCATCCCGAGCACATAGCATATACACTGTGTGTAGCAAATACGCCACCATAATTTGAAAATAGCAAGCAGTTTTCAAGCGAACATTTATAACGCGCGCCATTGTTAACCAAAACGACAAAAACAGCATTTTAATAAAATCGCCCGTTTGGAGCATCATCCATTGCAAATTATTGAATAAAACGAGGTAAATAAATGCCAATCGTCCCATATTATTCGAATAAGTTATTATTTTTGTGAAATTTGTGTGCGAAATGTAGAATTTTGCAGAAAAATGGTGTTAGTTTTATGATGAAAATCCCGTGTAGCCGTAGTAAAAGAGCGCCATTTCTTCAACAGCAGCTAGTATTAAAAACGCTTATGCGAATGTTTTTGCACATTTGATTTTGCCGAAGCAGTTAAAAAAGAAGTCGAAGCGGACCATTGATTGCGTTCGGTTTTTCATTAAAAGTTTTTTTTTTCCTGCAATTTGTTTCTTTTTTCATTTATTTTCTCTAGTTAGTCAATTTAATTTATTGCAATTGTACAATTTTGTTGGTAGCTTTGTGATTCATTTGAGTGTGTTTTTTTTTGTCTGTTGAAACGGTGACAAGTAAGCGAAGAGAAAAAAAATTGTATTAGCTTGTATCGAAAGATGAAGAAGAAAAAAAAATGCGCAAATATAAAAGCGTTTGCAAAAGAGACGCGCTTCGTAAAATCCAACAATTATTGTGTGTTGAATTGACTGTTGTCGCATTTTTTTTCCATTGGTCGTAAAATTCATCATTGTTTGGAACAAAATTGATTTTCACAATTTGATGAAATTCGCTAAATAAGGAATATTCCAATCGTTTCGTTGCGAGATTCATTCGTCAGAATTTCTGACGTCACATAACATAATATGTCTAACCTCATCTATCACGATGATACATGGCATATATTTCAATTGTTTCTGTTACTTTCTCTGTTTCTATCGGTATTCGCGGACCATTCATTTGTATGTGTAGCCATATAAAATACTCCGTTTAGTCAAGGGTTTCCTTGTGTGTTGCGTTGTTCCCAAGAAAACTATCAATAGCAAGCGATTCGTCATCCGCCTGTGAACCAAAGCAACTGTCGTTCATCGTTCGCATGAAATATTCATCAAACAACAAACGAAATGGAAGATGCAACAGCAACAACAAAAAATAAATACAAAATGCAACAAACGGAATATTCATGTGCAAGCGTGTATTTTTCGGGCGCATGATGCGTTCTGTTCTTTTTAAATACTTTAATTTTTAGACCATAGAGGGTTTGAGAATTTTTTTCACTCAATTTGTTTAGCCATCTTAGTTGACCGAAATTTCGGCTACATTTTTAACGCATATTTTTCTTTCGTTGTTTCTTTTTACAGATAATTTCTGCTGTATCTAAGCTATTAGACAATAGAGCAAAAAATGGCAACAGAACAAGATATTCCAACATTCAAATGTGTTCTTGTCGGTGATGGTGGTACTGGCAAAACAACCTTTGTCAAACGTCACATGACTGGTGAATTCGAAAAGCGTTACGTAGCCACACTTGGTGTTGAAGTCCATCCACTCGTGTTTCACACAAATCGTGGTCCAATCCGTTTCAACGTCTGGGATACTGGTGAGTGTTACAAAACGTCTCGTTCTCTCTCTCTCTCTCTCTCTCTCTCTCTCTCTCTCTCTCTCTCAGTCTCAACTCTATAGAAATTTAGCGAATAAGCAATGGCAGCGGTTGAGCTGGTGCGGGTACATCTCTATCTCCCGATCTAGCTCAATAATTCATACATTGTGTTTCATTGTTGTTTTGTTTTTTTTCTCGTTTGATTACAGCCGGTCAGGAGAAATTCGGTGGTCTTCGTGATGGTTACTACATCCAAGGTCAATGCGCTGTTATCATGTTTGATGTAACATCCCGTGTTACCTACAAAAATGTACCAAATTGGCATCGAGACTTGGTGCGTGTGTGCGAAAACATCCCAATTGTATTGTGCGGCAACAAAGTCGACATCAAAGATCGAAAAGTCAAGGCCAAGAGCATCGTTTTCCACAGAAAGAAGAATCTTCAAGTGAGTCATAGATCAATTTTTGTTTCTTTTTTTTTCCCGCAAAATTCCATTTGAAAAATGCCCTCAATTCCGTTCACAACCAATGTAATAAACATCATTTGTCTTCCATTCGTATTCATTTCCAACAGTACTACGACATTTCGGCCAAATCAAACTACAACTTCGAGAAGCCATTCTTGTGGTTGGCCCGTAAATTGGTCGGTGATCCAAATCTAGAATTCGTCGCAATGCCCGCTCTATTGCCACCAGAAGTTAAAATGGACAAAGAATGGCAATTGCAAATTGAAAAGGATCTGCAAGAAGCCCAGGAAACCGCATTACCAGAAGAGGATGAAGACTTGTAAACAACAGTTTGCCACCATAACAACAGCAACCAACAACCCCGATGCAACGTGTATCAATCACGGCCACAATTTCAAAACGCCTTTATATTTCATTATCATATGATTAAAAAAAAAAATAAAAAAAAAAACAAAATAAAATCAACAACAACACACTATCGAGAAAAGTAAAAAAAAACACTCAACAACAATAATCGCCGAAAACCAAAATTAAAAAGAAATCTACTTGAATGACACTACTTAATATTGCGTGAGATTAGTACGTTTTTTTGGGCATAAAATGTGTTGCATGCCAACCAAATTCATTTCCAGCATCAAATATTGCCAATCAATTTTTGGCGATTCTATTCTGTAATATTCAATTCAAGTGTAACGCGGGACTATACAAAAACAAAATTATAAAAAGGAGAAGAAAAAAAACTTGAAAACTGTTGTTAACTCATACATTTAAAATAAAACAATTAAACGAACTCGTTTTTTTACACACTCTTTTTTTACCAATTTATGCGCTTAATTTAGACATAGATAGACATTCGTTTGGGTGAAAATACAAACCAGGATATTTCAATTTGACCGTTGCATTTTCGTTATTTTTTTTCTCTTTCCAACCAAACGGATAAAATACTTCGTGTAGGCTGCGTATTGGCTGCGCCCATTTAAACATAATTTTTGTTAGCATTAATCATTTTTTTTTGTTTGTATCCTAATTAGTTCACAATAAAACTGGATTGTTTCGAACATTGAAACCGAAAAAAAATGTTTTTTTTTTAGTTTTTACAAGAAATCAAACCATTCCGTTGTTGGCTTATAAACAAATCGTCTCTATTTTATTGTCCAAATCAATTTTTTTTCTTTCAGATATAGTTTACTCAACAATTCGAATGACTGAAGCTACAGTCATCGTCGATTAAAGGACATCCATCGGGATGATTGTGATAAAACCAGCATGGTTTCTGTTTTAATTGCACATTAATGCCCTTCGCTTCAAGTTCTCGCTTCTTATCACACCATTTGGCAGGCACTTTAATTTCGACGGCTCCTTGAATCACGCGAAAAATTTGCGAATGATTTTTGAGCAATGTTTGTAGACCGCCGCATTCGGATTTCAATGCTTTCAATTTATCACCGGGAATGATTCTAGCTAAATCGACCAGCGACACTTTTCCACCCAAGTTCCAGTTTGGTTTATGGGAATCGGCCAAAAATCGTTTCTTCTTCATCACTTCGACAAATACGATGTCGACAATTTCCTTCTGGATACTTTTATCGACTTTTGAACAATTTTGAACTTTTTCAACGTCTGATCGCGGTTGAAAGTCATTATTCCAATTGCTCGCACTATTTGTCGTTTTGCTGCTGGTATTGATGAATTCTTGTATTCGATTTTCTCTATCGCTTTGCTCAGCAGCAGTGTACGTACGTTCGCTTCCGATAAGACAAATTCGTTTTGTGCTCGGTATTTTCAAGCGGTCAATTTGCGTTTTGAACCCGCATACATCGCTGATTTCCTGTGCATAGTTCAGAAAGCCCATGTACTGACTTACAGTGCCATTGCGACGCTGAAATTTTTTCCCATTGAACTCGAATGCACAACATGGTAACAGAAAATATCGTGAATTGTATGAACTACGAGCGGAGATGACCGGAATCCATGGGGACAATTCGTCTGAATGATTTCCAATGATCCAATCAACGTCTGGAAAAAGTGAGCTATCTGATGGAACTATTGCCAATGTCTTGAGTACAGTGGTTTCGGGGTACAAATCCCAAATGCCACGTTTTCGCACATCGATTCCATATCCCCGATGGCCTTCGCCGGATAAAATGTACACCAACAGTCCATTTCCACAGCCCAAGTCCACAAACGATTGTGAACGATCCGTATTCAGTCGACGACGTTCTTCACGCCACAGCAGTATCAAATAGGTGGCAATTGCTACATCCTCATACACGAATTTCAGTGGGTCAGTGTTTTCTGGCCAAATCTGGAATAAAGAGTTACATATCTTGTGAACGCATTCAAACCATAATTAAAACCATTGCAGCTCTCACCTTGACCATATGCTCCCCGTACTTGACTTTCAAATCATTGTACAGCCCATTGTATTCCGTCAGATTGATCAGCGAAAGCGATTCAACAGCGTCGAATGCCGACTTTTTTCTTTCTCCATAGTCCGTTTCCATAGACACAATCCATTTGGATATTTTCGGAATGAACACATGTTTTATCCAAGTGATTTGACGCATGAAGTTTTCATCGACTACATTCGGTGCCATCAAAACCATTTCCGTCTTTTCGCTGTCTTTCAAATGAACCACGAACCGCTTGATGAATCCAGTCGTTTGATTCCGATGCAAGTTCAAAAATGCCGCTTGATTATTGCCGCTGTCTGAATTGCAAAGAAGGTGGATTAAAGCATAACACGAAGACATAAATAGATTGATTCGTTAATTATTCTCACCTAAAATATTGATTTCATACGTGCAATTGTGTGATACTAGATTTTTGGGTAACAATTTGTTGAGAATGACTAAGATTTGCCTTTCTGTGCTCAAATCACATTTGGACAGATCCTGGATATCCATCAATTCGAAGTCATTTTGAGTGTAAAATCGATGTATCGCGGCTTTTAGGAAATCTACATTGACTTCACCATCATTTTTGCTCTCGATGAGATCCACCATTCGATCAATGAATCGCCCATCGGCATTCAAACCATTGTCACTGCTGCGAAACACACATATTTGTTCAGCACCCGCCAATCGTCGATTTATGAGATGCGGCTTAGTAACGCTTAACGAAATCGCTCTCCAAAATTTATTCTGATTCTCAATCTGTGCCGTTGTGATTATTTCCCATTTTATTTGATTATTTAGTTCCATTTCAACTCTTAAAAATTGCATTACCTATTTAGAATTTGAAAACGTGCGACATGGTTGTTGGTGATTGATTCGTTGACGTTTCAAAAATTTGACAATCTGACAGTGTCATAATTGCTGCTGTCGCAAATGATTTCTGGAAGCGGGTGTTTTGGCTGTTAAGCCCATCAAATTGCTAAACTGCTGAAATCAGTTGAAGAATCGATGGCCAAATAAATGAACGCGAATGGAATGGGTAAGATTTACCATGAGTTTTTTTTTATCAGATAGAACCATTAATCGTGAACTGAATGTGTATGTGTTTACGTTAACTGAGCATTGCTGATGTTAAAATTAACCTAACCTCAATTGAGTCTTATTTATGTTTAACTTAATTTTTGATTTTATTTTTAGTTACCGAAACCTCCGAAAGAAGAAATTTATGATGCCTAATGCTGACTATATGCTTGTGAAGTTATTTTAAATTACAGATATTGTCGAAGACATCGAGTCGGAATCGAGATAACGATGCCTGGATTTCGATTTCGATTTCGAACAGCTGTGTTTCCATTGCTGTTCCGTTGACACGAATGTGTAAATGTGTACGCGTATTTTATGTTCTTAAAGTATTTCCAGGTGTACAATACGAACACATTTCGTGGCCGTTTCACATCAATCTTTATCAATTTTCACATGTTAAACAGCTGCAGTTTGAAATCATCGATTCGTCGCTAAACGATACCAGATCTTATTGAGTCCAACATTTAACAGCGAAACCATCGCGAACACAATTTGGGCTTTGTTGGGCTCAATGATATCAGAACCAACGATCATTGCAAGCATTGCAGCTAGCAGCAAGAGATAAAATACAGAAAGAAAAATGCACGGAATAGATTTTCAATTCAAAAAGTCACATTTATTATTGTAAAATTTAAAAGCAAACGCAACCATTTTCATAGTAATGTCACCAATATTCATGGTTATGTCCACGTTAGTGTAGTTGTATATCGCACAAATTCCGTTTCTTGCTTGAAATTTTTTAATTTCGCTGAATCCGTTTCGCTGATTAAGTTTTCCAAGTACTTTTGCCACCCCCACAAAGTAAACTTCTTGAAAGATGGATTCTTTGAAAATAAATTGGAAATAAGATCGAAATTTGATGAAACAGGTCGAGCCCAAGCTTCAACACTCAGTTCTTCTATGTTTGGCAACACAGACACTCGTTGAAGTAAACTATCAATTCTACCTCTTACTCCGGTCAGTATAATTGATTTCAAGTATTTATTCTCATCAATGAAATCTAAAATATATGACTCGATTGCACCATCGTTTGCATAACACGAACATTCAAAGCGTTCTAGTTTGCTAAAGGTGAATGGAATGTTTGTTATTTTACCGTTATGGAAGATATCAAAACGGAAGTCAATAACATTTTCGAAATGATATCGATCAGCATTTTTAATATTTGGATAATATCTCATTCGTGGTGAGAAGCGTTTGAGCTCGGGCAGGTTGATATCCTGAAAAATAGTATCGCTGATACCGTTATTTAGTTCCAACTCTTCTAATTGTGGATTGAGTCTCAGCAATTCGTTAATTTCGTTTGCTTCAAAATGTAATCCTTTGTATTCATTTTTTTTACTTTTCCATGCATCAATACACAGTTTTTTTACAGATGGGAAGGCAATGGGTGTGGGTCCGTTCCAACCCAACTGCAACTCCAGCGACTTCAGATTTGGAAAAGTTGAACTGAATGGAAATTCAGAAATGGGTGCTCTATATTGGTCTAAACTGATATGCTCCACGTTTATGAATGAGTTTCGTATTTCTTTGAATAAAAACTTAGGTGGACAAACCAACATAAACTGTCTCAATGTCTTTGAACAATACTCTGCCACATAACTCTCAAGGAGAAATACAAAGGTGGATGGGTAATCGTACGTTTTTGGACGCAGATAAATGTATGAAACCAGATGTCCAAAATTCCTCAAAATCTTCAATGCTTTACCGGGCTTATACACGTCGACATTTCGTGATGGAACATAGGAGGGACTACAACATATATGTTTTAGTATTTTGAAAATTGTTCAGAATGTATTCACTAAATACCTGAAGTCATCTACTATACACAATCTTCCCTTGCCATATTTTCGTCTGTAAACATCACAAGCTGCTTTCTGAAGTTTCTTACTGGTTTCCGCCACATTTATCAGATCCGTTCAGTCTAAAAATGTGAAAATGAGTATCTTACAGTCATCATTTATGTCTGCAAGGTTCAATGGTTCTGAGCAACTCGATGAATTGCACTCCTGTCCACGGGTAATCGGAATTTCTCTTGATTCCATTTCTATGCTTTAAAAAAATGTTGACTAATATTCTGAAACCAAAATTCAATTTCACAATAATTGATCGAACTGAAATTTAAGCAGTCACATCAACAGATGAGCGTCACTTTTTGCTGCAGAGCAGATATATGTCAAGCAAAAATGGCTTGTATTCCCATTTCACAATTTCAGTACACACACATGTGTATTTATTGAATTCAATGTTCGATATTTCACTCTGCGTATATGTGTTGATAGATGAAAAATGTAAAAGAACTCAAATCAAACCAGCGTATATTTGTTTGCTTTGACGTATATTCACTCACTTTTGAGTCAAAGTCAGAACAATATTTGACTTGATTCCTAATTTGTGCATAGAATATTGCAATTTTTCATGCAATGCTGTCACGAAACGAAAACTCAATTTAATAATAATTCATTGAATTGATATTTGAGTTTGGAATGAGTTGAAATTACAACGAAATGAAATTTTGGTTCTTTATTGAGACATTTCATTGAAACAATCCATTCTCTCTTCCTATCTGTGTATGTGTGCATGTGCAGTGCACACATGTGTTAGTAGATAACACAGTCAAGAGGATCCATTTTGCGCATGTGCATTTTTTTCAACGAATCGCTCAAAGAACTCTGTCCCGTTTCGTATAGAGTTTTGTGTTTTGTGTATCGTACTCATCAACAATTGAGCTAAATTTTGAACAAGTCTTTTATTTGAAATACCCACCATCTTACCGTTATTTTTTATATTTATCGGATTTAAAAGGAATATAGAAAACTAATTTGCTTTTATTTTTCTCAAACTCGAACTTTCTTTCAACTACATTGATTACTGTATTTTTATGTAATATATGTTGTATTCTCGAGAAGAGAATGCAAAAACAATCTAGTGTGCCCGAAATAGCTCTTCATACGATTCACATCTGTGGAGAAAATTGGAACGAAAAAAAAAATTACTCTGTGATCGTAAATGAGCATTCAAATCAAAATAAGCTTACTCCCTCTTTGCTTGCTCCCAGGATCTGCCGAATGTAAACAAACCATGGTCTGCCACTAACATGCTATACGTTCCTCTATTTCGCTGAAATGCACCGTTTATTCCCTCCAAAAGGTCATCGTCCGATGAAAAGGGCTCGATTATTGGGAGAATTACGTCGACAGTTGATAATTAATGCGTTATATGGTTCATCACTCCCTAGTGGTTTGGAATTAATTTCACATCCATTTGAATGAAAAATAGAAATTGTTTCTCACCTTTGTATTTATACCCGAAGGAAATGTATGTTCCGTACGGTGGCTTAGAAGCCACCTATGCTAGAGAAAAATGTACTGCATTATCCGAATGAGTGTGTATTACAACCGAACATTCCCACAGAGAACTCTGGAACTTGAAAGCACCTGCACATAAACTGAAAAAAAAAACATATTAAAAGATCATTTCACGTTAAATTCTATACAGATGGGCGGACTCTTAATCTTATTCAGATTAATCTTAATCAAACACCCAAAATTCTCGATGATTAATACGACCACTTAATCACTTAATCGCTATTAATCATGATTAAGTGATTGTGCAATTGATTAATTAATCATCGATGATGATTAAGTTGTTGTCTTAATCACGATGTCGCCGTGATTAACTGTGACAACTTAATCATGATTAAGTATATTCGTAATCATGATTAAGATGTGATTAACGAAATGATTGTGTAGAT